CCAATACCAAGCTGTATTCAGTACTATAGCTCTGTAATAGAGCTTGAAGTCAGACATGGCAATGCCTCCAGATGTTCCTCTATTGTACAGGGTTATTTTGACTATCATGGGTCTTTTGTTTCTCCATATAAAGTTGAGAATTGTTCTTTCAAGGTCTGTGAAGAATTGTGTTGGGATTTTGATGGGGATTGCATTGAATCTGTAGATTGCTTTTGGCAAGATTGCCATTTTTACTATGTTGATTCTACCTGTCCAAGAGCATGGGAGATCTTTCCATTTTCTGGTATCTTCTTTAATTTCTTTCTTTAGAGACTAAAATTTCTTATAGTACAGTTCTTTCACTTTTTTGGTAAGTTTTCCCCTAAGGTATTTTATGTTGTTTGTGGCAATTGTGAAGGGTGATGTTTCTCTGATTTCTTTCTCCACCAATGTGTCATTGGTATATAGTAGGGCTACAGAGTTAATCTTGGATCCTGCCACATTGCTAAGGTGTTTATCAGCTATAGTAGTTGCCTGGTAGAGTTTTTCGGGTCACTAATGTAGTCTATCATATCGTCTGAAAATAGTGAGAGTTTGACTTCTTCCTTTCTGATTTGTATTCCCTCGATCTCCTTTTGTTGTCTTATTGCTCTAGCTAGAACTTCAAGGACAATATTGAAGAGGTATGGAGAGAGTTGCCAGCCTTGTATTGTTCCTGATTTTAGAGGCATTGGATTGAGTTTCTCTCCATTTAATTTGATGTTGGCTTTTGGCTTTCTGTATATTGCTTTTATTATGTTGAGGTATGTTCTTGTTATCTGATATCTCCAAGACCTTTATCATGAAGGGTATTAGATTTTGTCAAAGGCTTTTTCGGCATCTAGTGCGATGATCATGTGGTTTTTTTCCCTCAGTCTGTTTTTATGGTGGATTGCATTGATGGATTTCATATGTTGAACCATCCTTGCATCCCTGGGATGAAGCCTACTTTATCATGGTGGATGAGTTCTCTGATGTGTTCTTGGATTCGATTTGCCAGTATTTTATTGAGAATTTTTGCATCAATGTTTATGAGGGATATTGGTTTGTAGTTCTTTTAGTTGTGTATTTGTGGGGCTTAGGTATCAAGGTTATTGTAGCCTCACTAAAAGAGTTTGGCAGTGTCCCTTCTGTTTCTATTCTGTGGAACAATTTGAGGAGTATTGGTATTAGCTCTTTTTTGAATTTCTGGTAGAATTCTGCAGTGAATCCATCTGGCCCCAGGCTTTATTTTTTGTATGGGAGTCTTTTGATGACTGCTTCTATTTCCTTAGATATTACAGGTCTGTTTAAGTTGCTTATCTGTTCTTGATTCAAGTTTGGTAAGTGATAACTGTCCAGAAAATTGTCCATATCCTTTGAATTTCCAAATTTTGTGGACTACATGTTTTCAAAGTATGACCAGAAGATTCTCTGGATTTTCTCAGTGTCAGTTGTTATATCCCCCTTTTCATTTCTTATTTTGTTAATTTGCATGTTCTCTCTCTGCCTTTTGGTTACTTTGGATAACAGTTTGTCTATCTTGTTGATTTTCTCGAAGAACCAACTCTTTGTTATATTTATTCTTTGAATTATTTTCTTTGTTTTTACTTTATTCATTTCTGCCCTCAGTTTGATTATTTCCTGGCATCTGCTCCTCTGGGGTGAATTTGCTTCCATTTGTTCTAGAGCAGTCAGCTGTGATGTCAACTCTCTGATGTGGCTATTCTCTAGTTTCTTCATGTGAGCATTTAGAGCTATGGACTTTCCTCTTAGTACTGCTTTCAAAGTGTCCCATAAGTTTGGGTATGTTGTGTCAACATTTTCACTGAATTCTAGGAAGTCTTTAATTTCTTTCTTTATTTTTTTCCATGACCCAGGAATGCTGCAATTGTGTGTTGTTCAATTTCCATGAGTTGGTAGGTTTTCTGCACTTAGTTTTGTTTTTGCTTTCTAACTTTAAAGCATGGTGGTCTGATAAGACACAGGGGATTATTCCAAATTTTTTGTACCTGTTGAGGTTTGCTATGTTGCCAAGTATGTGGTTGATTTTTGAGAAGGTTCCATATGATGCTGAAAAGATTCTTTTGTGTTTGGATAGAAAGTTCTATAGATGTCTGTTAATTCCAATTGGGTCATAACTTCTGTTAGTTCCTTTGACTCTTTGTTAAGTTTCTGTCTGGTTGGAGACCATTCTCATGGAAACCACCATAAGCCTTGTCCCCAGGTGCACATGCATCAGGACCAAAGAGAATATTACAATTCTGGATGGTATACTACTTATATTGTCCTGTATCCCACTAACTGCTCTGTACTAGTGCTGTATCTGACCATAGAACTGGGTGGAAGTACAACAGAAGTGGTGTCATTGTTCCCATCACTGTCTATAACAAATGGATCCTCTGAGCTCTCCACTATTTCTGAAGTTTCTAGGCCCTGAGCATTTTGCTAACAAGCTAGCATCAACAGAGCTTCAGAAAACCCCATTAAGTGAGAGGGGCTATACCCAATGTGCAAATAGCCACAAAGGGGTACCCTCTACTACTATCTGCCCCACAATTCCCTGAGTTGCTAGGGCATCCCCATCTGTGTGTATGTTTGGTCTTGTGCATGTGTGCACACATGGCTGTTACACATATATGCTCGTGTTGATGTCAGAGTACCTTTTGTCATCTATGTCTTACTCACTTAGTACAAAGTCTCTCACTGACCATGGAGCTCACTGTTTCAGCTAAGCTGTGTGACTAATGAGCTCCATCACAAAAACTGATTCAAGGTATGTCAGCAGTCATACTTTGATATGTACATTTAAAATGACTGGAAGAAAATATAGGGACACACTTCAAGATGTAGGCACAAAAGGTACTTTCTGACAAGGAGCCTTAATAGTTCAAGAAATAGTAGCCAATAAGAACTAATGAAAGTACACAAATATAAAAGTATCTGCCCAGCCAAGTGAACAAGAGAAGGGAGAGCCTGTAGATAGGGAGATAAATTTGGCTGTTGATCTGACTACCCAAACTATATTAATAAGTCAAGTTTAAATACCAAAGTAATAAAGCATCTAATCAATATATGGGCAAATAAACTGAACAGATAGTTCTCAAAAGAAGAAATATAAACAGCCAATACATATATGAAAAATGGTTAAAAATGCTTAGTCATCAGGGAAAAGCAGATCAAAACCACACAGACATTTCAGCTCACTAGAGTCAGAATGACTGTTGTCAAGAAAACAATAAATGATGGTGAGGATGTGGGAGGAAGGATGGCAGTCACTATGCAAATCACCACTGGGACTCCTCGATGAGAGCAAGAAAAGAGACACCACAGTAGAGGAAGCCATTATAGGGTTAAAGAGAAATATGGCACTAGGGAAATGTCCAGAGATCTAACAGTTTGACCCCAACTAACAATCTAAGCAGTGGTGGAGACGCTACCTTAAATGCCCTTCTCCAATAATGAGATTGATGACTACCTTATATGCCAACCTAGAGCCTTCATCCAGTAGCTGATAGAAGCAGACACAGACACCCACAGCTAAACACTGAGCTGAACTCTGAAATCCAGTTGCAGAGAGGGAGGATTGATGAGCAAAGAGGTCAAGACCAGACCGGAGAAACCAACCTGAACAAGAGAAAGCTCATGGACCCCAGACTGATAGCTGGGAAACAGCATTGGAGTGTTCCAGACCCCCCGAATGCAGATATCAGTTTGGAGGTCTGGGCAATCCACGGGGCCTCTGGTAGTGGATCAGTATTTACCCCTAGTATACGAATGGACTTTGGGAGCCTATTCCCCAAAGACAGATACTCTCTCAGCCTAGACACACAGGGGAGGGCCTAGGCCCTGCCCCAAATGATGTGACAGACTTTGATGATCCCCCATGGAAGGCCTCACCCTCCCTCTGGAGCAGCAGTGATTGTTATAGGTAACTAACTACTAACCTGTATTTCTTAATTATCCTAAATATTTTATAATAATAGCTTTCAAGGACTAGAATTTCCCATTAGATTTTCAAATGAGCTGCAGAGGTACAATACCTTACAAGATGTTGTAATAAACATAACCTTAAATTCTGTTCAATATATAAAATACATTAAACAAGAGTAGAAATATATAGATTATGCTATAACAAAAATAATCTTAAATTTGTTTAAGTATACAAAGTCCATATCAATGAAAATATTTGAGATTAACAGTGACTTTTTAGTTTAAAAGTAGATTCATCAATCTACCCTTATAGTCTATCATTTCTTTTTTTGTTTTTTTGCGTCCCAGTTTCTTTTTATTTATTTATTTGTTCTTCCCCCCCCCTTTTTTTTAAAGTATGGAGGCTCAAGTATAAGATGTAGATTTTTTGTTTGTTTAAGCTTTACAAAAAAACAAAATAAAACAAAAACTCCTTTGCATTCCATTAAAATTGACAGAAAAGCACCTGGCCAGAAGAGCAGCCGGTTGCCAGCCCCCACCCCCACTGCGAATTCCTTGGGACGGGCACATCTGCCCAGGACGGTGCTGAAGAACTCTCTTGGTCCTTCAAAGCTGTCCCCTGTCTCCTCGCCCCCCAACTCCAAGCAACTCCCAAACACACATGGAATCAGATTTCCAGTTTTTCTTCTCTTTCACACACCAGTTAGTTCATGAAATTTTTTTGTTTTACATTTTTTACACCAATGTAACAAAAAGATGGAGGACGCAGTGGCTGACTGTGTATTTATGCTTATAAATGGGAGAGGGGAGGAAGACCGGGACAAGGCGAACAAAAACCATACAGTCTCTAGGTCTCTATGGAAACTTCTATGGAAACTTCGCGGGAAGTGGGCCTTGGAGCCAGAGGAAGGTGGTTATCGGGCTTTATTCTTGGGGAGCAATGGCGCTGCGCTGCGTGGTCGATGCAAACTGTTATGTGACCCGTCAGGGAGGGAGAGGAAGAGGGAAAAGGAGCAGAAAAACGAGTTGCTAAGAAAGGAATCTAACGAGTGCATGGCGTGTCCAGTTAGTGCGAAGCAGAGGTTTTAACACTGCTGCTTTCTCTTCAAGGCCTCCACCAGGTCGTTCTTGAGAGCTTTGTGCTTTGATTTGTCTGCATATATCTGCATAGACCTCAGCCCATTGACGATATCCTTTGTTTTTCCAAAGTAGATCTCATTCAGTGTACTTCTGATGTTTTTCCATGTCCTCCACCAGGCGCCCAATGTTGGCGATGTGTGGGGAGTAGTTGCTCACGGTTTCATCTTTTTCCATCTGTGTGGTCAGGCTGCCACCCAGGTTCATGGTGCCTGAGCCTGATTTGTTGGTCTGCAGCCAGAGCATCACTGTGGAGGTCAACTTGTAATGGGCGATCCGGCCACTGGACTTCTCCTGCACTTTGACCACATGGATGGAGTCCCAGCAGCCTTTGATCTTTGACCCGTCTCCAGCCTTCTTTATGAGGATCACTCCAGCAAAGCCGTGTTCAAGATCCCAGAGGTAGAAAGATGAGACACCACCTTCAAAATACAGGTCTCCGTATTGGTCGAAGGCAGTGTTGGCCTCCACCTCCAGCTTTCTCAGTCGAGCAGACAGCATGGCCCCATCTTCCAAAGGAGGACCATACTTGTTACTCCACAGTAACCTATAGGAGTCCCCATCTCTGTTGTAGTGGCATAAAAGGTAATCCTTGCCCACCACCTTGTCTCTGGCAATTTTCAGTGGTTGGTCAACAGAAGACAGGAGATCTTCACACAGACTGCAGCAGCGATGGTCCTTGTCTCGGCATCTGTAGCTCCCCCTCCCCACCCCCACCCTCACGCCCGCAGCAGGGCCTGGCGCTTCCACTTCTCCCATATTCTATCATTTCTACATCCCCTCATCTTTCTTTTCAGAAAGAGAACCTTGAATTCAAACTCTCTTGTTAGTTTCCTCCTTGACCATGACAAATAGCAACTTGCAATCAACCTTCAAATGATAATAAACATCCATAATCCACAGAACAACCAAAAACCACCCGCCCCACTTCTGGGAAATGTATGTTTCTTCTTCTTAAAATTACTCCCTGTTGTCTGAGGTCAATGGCATATGTAGCAGACCCTGAGAAAATTGAGATAATGGTCAAGTCCTAGGAGAGCTAGCCATTGTCCAGGCTCTGTGTGATGGGAAATTAGAGGGATTATCTTGGGTCCTTGCTGGAGTAGTCTGTGAGGCTGGAACCATCACTGCTAATAGCTTTAAAGTGGTTTTGGATGTAGACTTCTGAGGAAACTGCAGCAGAGTCACTCTGAACAGCTGGATCACCTGGACAACTTGTCCTTATTGGTGTCTGTTTTTTTTTTTTTTTTTTTTTTTTTTTTTTTTTAAAACAAACTTTTTTTACTTTTAATAGTAACCTACATATCTGCATTAACACAATTATGGAATGTTCCGTGCGCACAAATCAGCTAACAATGATTTTCTGTTCTATGTTTGAGCAGGTAAAAGATACAACTTTATAACTCCATTGAACAGCATAAACAAATTGTAATATAAAGTCTCCATTGATATCAGATGAAAGGTTGGCATCTAATAATAAGCCATGAGGACTCTGTAGCCAACAAGATTTATCATAGCCCAAATAGTCTCAGATACTGCCTGTCTTGTAGGTTTTTTGTTTGTTTCTTCCTTCATGTCTGCAGCCAAGATTTCCAGGGGTTCTTTCCTGATCAAATCTGATCTTCATTAATTTTGAAGGAATCCATAGTATTTCTTTCCTGTGGAAACAAAGGCATTGCCTCTCCCCCAGCACAATGCATTTCCTGATTTCCACTTTGAAGTTAAGACATCCTTAAAATATATAGGCTGGTATAATTTAGTAGTTTTTTTTCCACACTCCAATGTCTCTCAACAGAGTTTACCCTGCACTCATCAGCATTCAAAGAATTCAAAGTCAATAAGCACCATATAGGATACAGATATCCTGTGTATTTTCCATCCTTATGAGGCTTATTCTCCTTACATTACTTTACTCTTTCTTTAAAGATTTTATTATCATTATCTTTAAACTATTTATTTTTCCTGTCTGTCTAGATCCATTTTCTTTCTTCAGCACCTAAGCACATTTTCAAACATATTGTACCTGTTCACAGGTTTTCTCAGTCTGGAATTGACTTTCTGTGTGCCTGTAGCCTTCTCTGACCATGTGAGCCAAACCTAAACTGCTACAACAGCCTTCCCATGGCTCAGCTTAGCAAATGGTACTGGCACCTCTGGCCACCCGCTTTGGGCCACAGGAAGCCTTGGAAGCCACAAGTACCCATTCCAGATGCACCTAACCTTTTTGGCTCTGGGAAGGTGCTGTGTCCATGCTGTGACAGGTGTTTCTACCTAGTCTCCTGCCTGATTAGCAAGCTGGCTGCTTAAGTGCTCAGCTTGTACAGAAGGGCCTGTTGAAGGAGCTGTACCTCTGTATGCAGCATGTCCCAAGCCTACTCAAGAAACCTCAGGAAGCTGCACCTGACTCCATGTTTGCATTTTTTCAACTTTCTTGGGTACTATGTGAATTATACCTGCCAGGCATTGGGTGCCATGCATAGTAGAGCTTTCTCGTGAGACCACCAGCTCCCAAATAATGACATGGAGACTTATTATTAATTATTAAAGCTTGGCCTTTAGCTTAGGCTTGTTCCCAACTAGCTCTTATACCTCATACCTATTTCCATTCATCTACATTCTAGTTACCTGTCTTCCATAATATATATCAGACTTCCTCAGTGTATCACTGGCATCTCATATGTGTCAAGTTCATTCAGAGTTCCTTTTTGTCTATGGAAGTCCCACCTATTCTCTCCTGCCTAGCAACTGGCCATTCAACTCTTTATTAAACCAATCCAGTTCCTTTGGCAGGTGGTATAAAATACAGACACATCTTCATGCTGTGAAAACGAATATCCTGCAACAGTGCTTAAAATCTAACAACCAAGGATCTTAACTAACTAAATAAAAACTTATTCTTTAATACCCTTCCATATTTGTCACTAGCAGAAAAGAAGATGATATATGTGTCTTCCAATGGAAGCAGGCTAAACTTTTTATAATAACAACATAGCATTTTCAGTTTTTCCTATGGATGGCAGTGCACACGTGGAATTTCATTTTTCCAATCATTGTAAATAATGGTTTTATGGTTAAGTCAGCTTTTTCTCCATAGGCCCCTGGCCTCTATGTACTTCTAAGCATATTGTAGATCTACAGAAGGCAGGAGCTCATTTGTCAACCTCTAAAGGAAGCTGTGACAGCTGGATTCTTTGGCTGCTTTCTGTGCAGCCTCCTGCTTTCCAGGAACAGACCCAGCCTAGCTGGGATTTCTGGCTATGTGTAGCTGTGCAGGAAGCTCATGACTTTTCCCATTCAGGACAACTTCATATCTCACCTCTTTCAAATATACCCATGTATATTTTGTCATATTTTCTAGTACTATCCTTACACATTTTAGAATTACATTATAACTTCTTATATATTTTCTTCTAAATAAATTTTATTTTCCTGTGATTGGCACAAGAAAAAAATGCTATGTGAAGAAAATATTTAATAATATATAAAATATTCATGTTATCCTATTGGAACACCAAAAATATAGGCTAGTAAATTGAGTGTACGATATTGACTTTATTACAGAAAACTGCAAGGGAAACGACTGGAAAACTAAACTACAGGGTGGGCAATGGTGACTGATTAGTGGTCAAATTATGAAGGCATTTCTTGTTTCTTCATACATTTCTCTACTTCCGGTGAGCTATGTTTTTAAACTTGCATATTCTATTTAAAACAAAAATAAACACAAACAGAAGCTTGTGCCTTATTCTCAAACAGAATATTTTTTCTCCTCTCTGAGTGGTACTGGAGCTTGTGTAGGCTTCTAGAATAAGTTGGCCCCCAAATAAACCGTGGAGAGATATAAAAACCAGCACAGTAATACAAAAAGAAAAAGGAAGGTTGTTGAGTGCTTTAAAAGATATAGCATTTTAGTTATCAAAATCAAAGATATTGAAATATGTAAAATGCTAGATGAAGGTCTCAAAAGTTACTTGTAAAAGTGTTGAATAGCCTGGAAAATAATAAAACCAAGTAGACAAACTTGGAGAATAAATTAGCAACACAGAGGTAAAGTTGTCAAAAGAAAGAGACTAAGAAATGTGGCTGAAATAGTCTCCAATATGAAAGAAAAATTCAGCAAGGAAATTAAGATGAAATGCTAGAAATGAAAACTCTTCCAATAAGCGTAAGAGGGAAAAAGCAGCTAAAATAATCATAGAGGACATGACTAGTGAAACAATGCATCTAAACACCAATAAATGAAAACATAAGTAAGCATGCTAACATCCACTCAGGATACAGTGGAGACAAAAACCTAAAATTCCACAGGACAAAGAGGAGATGAGATGGAAACAAAAGACGAGGAGAAACAACACAGTGAAATTATAGCAGAAAATTGCCTCCCAAATATAGAGAAATATCATCGAAACCTAAGAGATATTTACACTCCAACTAAACAAGACAACGAAAGAACGTCTCCAGGACATTGTGTGCTAAATATATAGGAAAATTTCAAAGAAATAGGGTTAAAAGATATAAAGAAAAATATCAAGTCATCCACAAAGGAAAACACATCAGAATAATATCAGCTCTGTCATCAGCAGTTCCAAAAACCTAGAAAGTATAGCTTGATTTATTTTAGGCATCAAAAGTAAGTAACTTCTAACTAAGACTGCTACAGTAAAAAATACCTTATTTTAAAAACTGGCAAATTATAAGGACATTTCAAGATAAGCACAAACTAAGATAGTTCATTACCAGCAATCCAACAATGCAGAAGATACTTAAAGAAATAGCATACATAAAGGGAGAAATATGGTATTAATCACAAGAGTACAGGAAATAATAAATCTCAGGAGAGGAATCAGTTAATGAAGAAGGGAAGAAAGGAATCCAACATTTACAACACAGCAAATCCACAAATACCTAATATTAATACAACAGAAATAAATGAATGAACAGTAGTACAACCAACCAAAAACCCAACAAAGGAAATTGTGGAATTACTGAACATTTCTCAATAATAAACTTAAGTATAAACTGTCTTGATGCATTGATAGACACAAATAAAGGTAGTGGTGACACATGCCTTTGATCCCAGCACTTGAGAGGCAGAGGCAGGAGGATCTCTGTGTGAGTTCAAGGCCAGGCTGATCTACAGATCAAGTTCCTAGACAGCCTCGAAAGCTACAGAGAAACCCTGTCTCAAAACAAAACAAAAACCAAGCAAACAAACAAAAGACAAATAATAGCTGGCTGAATTAAAAATTAATTAGATCTGACACATATTGTACTGGGATCTAGCCTGGTAAATCTACCTCATTCTACCCTCCATGGATCAGTCTCAACTCCCAGAGGGAGCTCAGGTCCCACATCTCATTCCCCGGCCTAGTCTGGTCAGTCCCCAACTTACAAAGTTTGGCCAAGACAAATACCAGTCCAGACTTCCTTGCTACCATTTGGCTTCAGCCTGCTTTTGCCATACCCAGTTTTCAGGTCTTCATATTCTGTCCTCTATTCCAAATTACTGTGTTCACATCAGACACAGAAACAACAAAGAAATCCATATACCTAGTCTCCTGAAACAATTATAGATAACATAAAATATCAATATTATATGTCCTCTTCAAAATCTACCAGTACTATAGAAATTTTCTTCAGTGAAAATTGGGTAGATGAACCCCAGGACACAGAATTTAAAACAACAGTCATAAACTTCATTAAAGAATTCCAGTTTAAAGAAGGCACAAGACTGGACAAACGATCAGGATCTAAGGATG